CACCATAGGGCGTCTCCATGGCTAAGTGGACAGAGCGTCTGCCCAGAGACCGGAAGTTCGGAGTTCGATCCCCGGCCGCGTCACACCAAGAGACGTTAAAAGACGATGGTACTCGGCATTAGGGTTGGTTGGTTGTTTTTTCGCAGCATTCGACAATATTCCAGCCGTATGACGGCGGTCTGTAGTGAGTGAGTGAGTGAGTTGGGTTAAACGCCGTTTTTAACAGTATTCCAGTTATATCACGGCGTGTCAGCTTAATGTGGGAGGAAAGCATAAGTGATGCAGGTCTCAGACGTTTACCACTTCGGTAAAACCCACGAGCACGGGTATGGTGCTGACAAACCTAGAAACATAATCGGGGCGAACAGGGATACGAACCCACAATCATAGGTTTCTGGCGTGCCCAAAGAATCGCGGCGCCTTAGACGACTGGGCCACCCGTGCTCCCTATGGCGGTCTGTAAATAATCGAGTCTGAACCAGACAATCCAGTGATTGACATCATAATCACCGATCTACGCAATTGGGATCGATAACATGCATCAACCAAGTCAGCAAGCCTGACCACCCGATCCCGTTAGTTGCCTTTTACGACACTCATAGTCGCCTTTTACGGCAAGAATGGGTTGCTGAATATCTATTATATCCCGGATTTTTCGGGTCTCGGCATTAGGTAGATAACCAAGGACTGGTCGGCACGGTGTAGGTATGTGTGTCTGGAGTATTCATGTTAAAAAGCGGTATGGTATGTCGGTGGGCTAGCACGATAAAACCGACATAAGTCCGGAATAGAACAGGCACGCACACGCACGCACTAACACTAACACAAACACACACTAACACTAACACACACTAACACACGCACGCACGCATTGATTCCAATAATCTTGAAAACGAAGTTGAACTTCACCGCACCTCAACGATTCATCCCGACTTAATAGTGGACCTTCAGCTGTCATGTGGATGTCATTATTTGACTTATTAGGTTCTTGAACAAAGACGTGTGAAATTTAATTAAATTACATTGTTGGCCTCCCACGTCCACACAACAAAATTACATTGCGAAACAGTGACTGACAAAGCCTCCCAGTCCCCGGTCCAGGCTTATCTTCAGTGTTCGTCGCTTAACGCTGCACTATTCCACCTGTGTGACGGCGACCTGTAAATAATCGACAATCCAGTGTTTGATATGACGAACGAACCACGGCGTCGTAGTGTGAGGACACACCATCAATCACACGGTCCATTAAATTGCCTCTTACGACAAGAATAAGTTGCCGAGTACCGGAATACCAAAGGGGTCGTTGTTAGGCTAAAATGACAAGGCAAATAACTTTGACCTCAAAGGTCTGTTTAGAGGGATGATAACACGCTGAAGGCATGCACGTCGCTTACCTCCATATCCGAGATCTGATTGGCTCACGTGATCTTGATAAAATAAACTAAGCGGCAAAAGAAAGTATAGGTTGGCAATTTGTAATTTTCCTACAAAATGGCGATAACTAGTGGAAAGTGGGTATTGGGAATATGACTGCCCAGGAACAGGTACCAAAAAACACCTTACCCACCTTTGACGGCGCTCGTGCGGTGACAAAAAAAATGGTGAAACAGGTTTCCCGCCTATGGCATAAACTGCACGTGCATGTTAGCTGTATAAATGCGTTCGTCTGCAGGGTATAACCACACGTGATGAAAGCACACAAAAGAAGTGCCACGACTGTCACAGGAGCAGAGAGAGATCCATCGGTATGGCGGAAATGGGGGCAACACAGGTCCAAATTGCCAGAAGGTTTGGTTGTACACCATTTACAGTAGCCAGGCTGATGCAACGGTACAGGCAGACGGGGAGGACACAGGACAGGCCTAGAACCGGACGACCCCGAGTGACAACACCACTGGAAGACGGTCAGATACGGCTCATTCACCTGCGAAACAGATTCGTAACGGCGACGGCGACGGCAGAAACAGCTTTGGGACATCCCATTAGCCAACGTACAGTACTACGACGACTTCGTGCTGCTGGAATCCGAGCGTATCGTCCTTTCCGAGGAATGGTACTGACTGCTCAACATCGACGCCTCAGACTGCGATGGGCGAGGCAGGTTCGACGCTGGCAAGTGAGACGTTGGCGTCGAGTGCTGTTTACTGATGAAAGTCGGTTTAACTTGTTTCAAAATGACGACAGAGAACGAGTTTATCAACGCAGAGGGGAACGTTTGGCTCCGGCGTGTATTAATATTCGAGAGGTCCATTCATTCGGCGGGGGAGGTATCATGGTGTGGGGCGGTATTTATGTAGATCAGAAGACTGATTTGGTGATTATACAGGGATACCTGAACGCTGTGCAGTACAGAGACCATGTGTTGCAGCCAGTTGTGCTTCCGTTCTTACAAAACCAACAGCAGGGGACATTGTTTCAACAATGCCAGGCCCCATACTGCAAGACTGACTCGGAACTTTCTAAACCAGCAGAACGTTGACGTTTTGCCCTGGCCTGTCCACTCACCCGATATGAATCCTATTGGACATCTGTGGGACCATCTTGACAGATTAGAGCACGCCATCAGCCTCCCGTCAACAGACAAGAATTGCAGCAGGCCCTGAGAGACGAATAGCATCGGAAGACTGACGTCATCGATGAGGCGGCGTATCACAACATGCAGGAAGCTGGAGGTCATACACGCTATTGAAGGCAACTGTGTCGACAATGAATTTGTGGTGTGTCTGACTTTGGATAATGAAATTTCAATCAATCAATCATTTGTTACCCCTCCCTAGATTATATTATAATTCACAACAAAACCTCTTCTTGTTATTTATTTATCGATCATGGAACTCGACCTATACTTTCTTTTGCCGCCCAGTTTACTATGTATCCCGCCTGAGAGGGAAATACATAAATCCCTTATACCCCGCCATGATGAAAACAGGCTACACATGGATTACTGAGCATGAGAATAAATCCTTTATACCCCGCTACGATGACAATCGAACAGCTGTTTTCTATCAATTTGTTTTAACGTGTTTACAATGGCAGATTGAAACATGTTGGCAGTATGAATTCGATGTAGCAGTACCAATCGGACATATGTGTTTTTATGCATCCTTCCAGCTCGTGGTATAAAACCTAACGCGGGACACATAAATTCACCTACACCCTCCGTGATACTGCTACAACCTATAGTATACGAAAGCCTGATGATGCCACTTTTGTACCATACTTTTTCTTTTTTTTCGATTATTTTCTCGTTACTTCGTTATTATAATTATCATCTCGATATGGAATAAACTTGAAATAACGAGAAAATAATGGAAGTAACGAGAAAATAATCGAAGCAACAAGAATAAACTCGATATAAGGACAAAAACATCGAATCAACGAGAAATAATTGAAATAACGAGAAAATGATCAAAATTTCGAGAAAATAATTGAAATAACGAGAAATTTCGATTTTAAAAAAAAATGGTACTAAAGTGGCACCATTAGGCTTTCGTAATAGTAAACCAATGCGTACTCGGAATGTACAGATAGTTGACGGGCAAATGAGGTCGAGTCGGAGCATGTGACATACCATGTTCAGTTAGAGGACCAGGCAAAAAGCTCCTAGGCATTAACAACACGCCCAAGTCCAGCGATTAGAAGCGGCATGACTGTTAGACCGGGAACGAGTCTATCATATTTCATTGATCAAGCACAGAGTTAGCACTCCTTGTCAGGGTTATTTACTTATCTTTCGTGCAAACATAATGTTAATGAACTTATCCAGCGTTTGTTTGCCTGTATATCGTGTATACATATCCTGTCTCTGAACACGCGCTGTGAATAGGAACAAAGCTTGGTCAGACAACAATCTCCTGCAGTCACCATGGAAACGTCTCGTGAGATAACCAGCACGTTAGGGTCGACGGTCACATTATACCGATATATATATCGGTATATGGTCTACGGTAACCTTAATTCAAAAGCGTCCTGGGCCCACTTGGACAAAACATTCTTAGCGCTACGACTATCGTAAGTCTATGTTGAGTACGGGAGTAACGATCATCCTAACGCTAAGATCACTTTGAGCATGTGTACCCTGGTTGCTGATATAAGGAGTTAACTGACTGTAAAAGTCAAGTTTCGACCCTTACCGAACTAAGCTGGTTTTTTGGGGGCTCGATCGTAGCCACCAGTATTGACCAATCAGCTTTCATCTCTCATATCACTTGCATTTGCTTCAAACAAAATGGCGTCGCCCTGTGAAGACGACCAGATCGATAATCAAGGTCTATATTGTAGTAAAACGTGTCTTACTTCGCGACGTGTATCAAATCACGTTAGCACCTTGATTAAAAACATGGAAAGATTTTGAATGGTGCAATGTTTGCATCGCATTCTAAGCATCTTCCGCTGTGATGTGCCTGGACTAAATACGAAATTAATGTGAAACCTACCCCACTCACTAACTCTATTGAAAGTGTCCGATCTTCACCTGTTTGGAAGGTTATTCATATGCGGTTTAGTACTGCTATCATTTGGAATATCCTTTGTGGTTTTTTTAAATTGCCTTTTTACTTCGACCTTGCTGAAGGCTAAAAGAATATCATGGTCATTAGCTCAGCCCTGTTCTCCAAAGTTGACGACATCTGGTATATGTTTAGCTAGTAGTGAAGCTCAACACATGTGACGTTGTTCGTGATATGTTATATTGATTACATATATGTGACCCTGGCATGCTGACCATGCTCCTCAATTCTTACATAATTTCCTCGCACAGTCAACATCATCTCCTCAGCATCAGGACCATTTGAAGCTGACATCAGATGCTTGTCACTTGATACCCCAATGCGAGCCTGGCCACCCGATCCCGTTAGTCGCCTCTTACGACAAGCATAGTCACATCGCACGCACGCACGCACGCATGCACGCGCACACGCACACGCACACGCACCCACACATACACACACATACACACACACACACATACATAGCAGTATAGTTGTAACAAATGACAAGACAAGAGAAAAATATGTTTATTCATACCACTCATTCATATAACTAACAACGAAATGCCATGCAAAGCACACAAGTCGTAGTAAACCAATCATAGGATGTTATATATAGAATCAACTTGGCTGAGAGGACGCCATTGACTCTCGTCCAAACAGGGCTCCGAGAGGCTCAGCTTGTCTAAGAGGACGCCATTGACACTAGTCCATACAGGGTTCCGAAGGCTCAGCTTGTCTAAGAGGACGCCACTGACTCTAGTCCATACAGGGCCCCAAGAGGCTCAGCTTGTCTCAGAGGACGCCATTGACACTAGTCCATACAGGGCTCCGAGAGGCTCAGCTTGTCCAAGAGGACGCCATTGACTCTAGTCCATACAGGGCTCCGAAGGCTCAGCTTGTCTAAGAGGACGCCATTGACTCTAGTCCATACAGGGCTCCGAAGGCTCAGCTTGTTTAGGAGGACGCCATTGACTCTAGTCCATACAGGGCTCCGAGAGGCTCAGCTTGTCTAAGAGGACGCCATTGACTCTAGTCCATACAGGGCTCCGAAGGCTCAGCTTGTTTAGGAGGACGCCATTGACTCTAGTCCATACAGGGCTCCGAGAGGCTCAGCTTGTTTAGGAGGACGCCATTGACACTAGTCCATACAGGGCTCCGAGAGGCTCAGCTTGTTTAGGAGGACGCCATTGACTCTAGTCCATACAGGGCTCCGAAGGCTCAGCTTGTTTAGGAGGACGCCATTGACACTAGTCCATACAGGGCTCCGAGAGGCTCAACTTGTTTAGGAGGACGCCATTGACACTAGTCCATACAGGGCTCCGAGAGGCTCAGCTTGTTTAGGAGGACGCCATTGACTCTAGTCCATACAGGGCTCCGAGAGGCTCAGCTTGTTTAGGAGGACGCCATTGACACTAGTCCATACAGGGCTCCGAGAGGCTCAGCTTGTTTAAGAGGACGCCATTGACACTAGTCCATACAGGGCTCCGAGAGGCTCAGCTTGTTTAGGAGGACGCCATTGACACTAGTCCATACAGGGCTCCGAGAGGCTCAGCTTGTTTAGGAGGACGCCATTGACTCCAGTCCATACAGGGCTCCGAAGGCTCAGCTTGTCTCAAAGGACGCCATTGACTCTAGTCCATACGAGGCTCCGAGAGGCTCAGCTTGTCCAAGAGGACGCCATTGACTCTAGTCCATACAGGGCTCCGAAGGCTCAGCTTGTCTAAGAGGACGTCATTGACTCTAGTCCATACCGGGCACTGATACTGACACTGGAAGGGGGTCTGGCTGGGCTTTTGTGTGGAGATTCAATATTGTTTTCAGCTATATCCTCAAAAGCAGATAAAAAAAATTAAAGTTTTAACTATGAGCCTGAATAGTTTTCTGAAAAGTTTTTAATGAAAAACACATTGCAACAATGTAATACACTTTTCTTCGATTAAATTCCCCATCCCCCACCCCTTAATCAATTAATTGTCGGTCCCTAAGGCAAGAAGACGATATTCCAGATGTCCATCGTATCATCCGTTTGGTTAGAGTAGTCACTGTTTAACCCAGAGTATATCATTCGGCCATGTTATATAGCTTGCGGGCGACAACGTCCTCACTCTGCTCATCGTCATGGGCTTGAAATTTTTGTTAACAAGGAAATCCCTTATTTTGGGGCCATTTGGAGTCCTTTTTATTTGAAACCATTCCATCATAATATCACGGATATCAATTTTAGAAAACAATTGCTTCCCTTCTTTCAAAACCTCATATTCATGGTTCTCCACATCAACCTTGATGAAGGCTTTGGGGAAGTCAACAAACTGCAAGATGTCGTCCAGACGAACAGTCGAGATGAAATCTGGATTGTAGTTGTCGTTGATGTCAAACGTTGCGTTCGGGACTTGTTTGATAACGGTACCTCCTATATTTGCTTTTTCACGCTTGAAGGTGACAGTTCTATAGTCATCCGAGAGAGCTGCAAATAAAATAGTGATCCGATCCGCCAATTTCGCCTCCTGTGCAGTTGCGCACAGTCTCATGACGTTCTCAACAAGCGGGTCCACAGCAACAACACGACGTCCCATCAACGCAGCCGTCAAGGAATACGTCCCTAGTTGAGATCCAAGGTCAAGGACTCCCATATCTGCACTGTCCCTTAGTATTGAGATCATTGTGTTAACTCCTGGAGATTCCCACATTCCAGATCTCTGAATTGACCCTGACACATGGATGTCGTCTTTAACGTTATGAATGTACATCTTGATAGTACCGACCGGGGTTCGGAGTTGGGCAGAACTAAACTTGTTCACTGCAGAACAGAATCCTGGAATCAGAACCCATTTGCCTTGTTTCCAACGGTACACGCCAGTCTCGAGTTTGGGCGCATGGGTCATCTTGACCTGTGTCGGCATGGGCTGAGTGTCTGGAATGACACGTGCTTCATGATGAGGTGTGACCCGTGGATCAATCACTCTTGAATAGTGAAGAAAATGGAAGATAAAGATAAGAATTATTCCAGATACTCCAAGACACAACAGACGCCACCATTTATTCCATGGACTCGCCATCGCGAGAGTAGTGGGCTCCTCTAAGAAATGCTATACGTTGGACGATCGGGTTGTGGTGACGCATATGTAGGTCATCCTGGCGAAGCTTTGAGGACATTAGCCGTTCCTATGAATGAGGAATGACAATATAAATAATAAACAAACACTATTGCCTAACACGGAAGTAATCAATCTTAATGCAAGTCACGAAGCAGTTGTTGGAGTGTAAACACAATGGTAAATGTCACAGCAGTTCAAATCGATCGCAATATCGTTGGACTAGAATCGTTGACCGTCCCCTGGAATGTCAATGGCCGTCACATGTCAAACACCATTAAAACTAGGGCTGGGACGAATATTTACTACCCGGGAACCCATCACCCTATTACCTGACCTTACCCGGGTACCCGCTGTAGATATCTAGAGATGGGTACAAACTGTCCGATTTGTAAAAAGTTTGACCTTATCCCTGGCACAATGTATTTATATACACGTGTAAAGCGATCTGGTCATGCATACACTGATGTTTACTACATGAAGCTCATGAATCTTAATTCAAATATATACAAGTCAGAAGAATGGGTGCATAGTCAGAAAGAAATGGGAACATCAGTGAACTGTAGTGTAGTTTAGATCATTTTTGTCATTCAACAATTATATTACGTGACTTACCGCGCGTGCGGGTAGTCCTGTGGGTACCACTCCACCCGGGTACCCGAGTTATCCGTCCCATCCCTAGTTAAAACATACCAGGCTCAAACAATGACGCGTCTTCATTTGTTTTTTATAGAACCCTTGTACCTCAACTTACCTGGTTAACTGTGACACCGTCTTCAGTCATATACCGGCGAAGACGCCGAGGCGTGTATTCATTCCTATCTCTCCGGGCTCAATGGGTGATAAGTGACCTGATTTCATTCCTCGCGACCTTTTTACGCACTGTGTAGAGCCACGTGTGTCAATCAGACTGACCGAGCGTTGACTAACAGGGAAGTCATAAACCTGTGAAATACCGTCTACTCTCTAGTGTGCATGTACACATTGCATAGTGTGAACCTCACTGGGGGATTATAATGCATTGAATAGAATCTGTTGTGCTGGGACCACAATGCACGCGTGATTGTGGTAATACGTCCCACACTGAATATACCCTGAATACACGTCTTGATACGAACCCTCAACTTTATCGATTCAGTCACCCGGCCGACAGGTTGTTTCACTCGCAAAGGGTTATCTCTGAACGACATTAAAGGGTGCGTGTTTCCAACGCACACACCTGCCACTTTACAAGGCGTTAGAATATAATGTTGAAACACAAAGCAGACATCTGGAATATTAAGCCGATATTGAGGTATGGATTATGGATTACATGGATGCTGTATATTGCAATGTTACCATGCCTAATGATGGGATGGGATTCATATAACTAATGCTGTTAGAGAGAGAGAGAGAGAGAGAGAGAGAGAGAGAGAGAGAGAGAGAGAGATGTTTATATATATATATATATATATATATATACTCTTCAAACAAAGAAACTTGACACTGACTTTCAAAATGTAATAATATGCGATTGTATCAAAATAGGACACAGACACCATAATTGAAACACTGTTTGAAGATCAATGTACACAATGTTCAAAACATTAATCGTGTCACCTAGACAGACACACATACACGGTACAGTTAATGTCACAGGGGTACAGAAAATGTCAGTATCGGTTGTGCCCACCACGTGCATCAATTACCGCTTGACACAGACGACCCATAGATGCAATCAAGTTGTCAATAACACGCTGTTGGATGTGCTGCCATTCATGCTGAAGTGCATCGGGTGAGGTGAAATGGGGTTTAACGTCGCGTCCAAGATTATTGCACTTATATAGCGACGTGCATGTACGTGTGTGTGTTTGTGTGGCTGCTTGTACTAGTCCGGACTGATGCCGATTTATAGTGCTAGCTCACTGAGATACCAAGCTGCAGTTTAACACGAATACCCCACTCAGACAGAGTATACTGACTCCGAGCCGACCAGTCCTTGCTTAAACCCCTTAATGCCGAGCGCCAGACAGGGTAACAACAAGTACCATCTTTTAACTTCTTTTGGTATGACGCGGTCGGGGATCGAACCCCGGACCTTCCGCTCCCCGGGCGGACTTTCTACCACTTGACCACGGAGGCGGTCCTGAAGTGCATCAAGAAGCGCCGGAAGTTTTTGGTGCGGTGGATTCCTTCTGCGAACGCGTCGATCCAACTCCTCCCACAGATGCTCAATCGGGGACAAATCTGGTGACCGGGCTGGCCAAGGTAATGTCTGGATGTGGTTGTGCTTTAAGAAGTCCTGACAAACACGTGCAATATGCGGTCGAGCGTTGTCCTGCTGGAACTGTCCGCCATGAACGTTGACGTGAGGAAGAACGTAAGGCTGTAGGATCAAGTCTCTGTAACGCACACCTGTCAATGCACCTGCCACATGCACGAGAGGCGTCCTATCACCGTGATGAATTCCGGCCCATACCATGACACTCCCGCCGCAAAATGGGACAACCTGCTGCACACAGTTGGGAGCGTAACGTTCACCCCGACGTATGTAGACACGTGCGCGCCCATCAGCACGTGTGAGGAGGAAACGGGACTCGTCAGTATATTTTTCTCCACCTTGCACGTGCCCATCTAACCCTCTGTCGGCACCAAAGAAGACGGTCCGCCAGATGACGTGGGGTCAATACATGACGTCGAACAGGTCTTCGTGCAAAACGTCCAGCCTCCCTCAGTCTGAGCGTGCCGTTTGATCTGATATTCTGCGTACCCCAGGGATCTGTGTGGTTGTATCGCGTCCACAATGCGGAGATTGTCTGTCTGGATATGCCAAAGTGCCTGGCCACTTCTTGCTGAGTTGCTCCAGCTTGTAATCTCCCATTGGCGTTGTTCCGTTGAGCTGCATTCAGTCTTTGCATTCTTTCACCGCCTCTACTGCCGTTATAACGACTGTATGAACAGCCGTTGATGTGGATTTTTATACCCATTCAGCAGTAGGGCCTGCATGCCTAAATGCAGTATCCTGTGCTGCACGTTTTTTACAGGCGGTTGCGTTTGGTTGAAGCTGTCAAGTTGATCCCCAAACGCTACGTTTATGTGCTTTGCATGTGTTTTCGCGATTTATAGACGCATCATCTTTCTGTTTGACTTATTTGGTTCTCATTTAATGTAATTATTTTAGATATTTGGCAAAAAGTGGTTTTACATATATGTCTAGTTTCTTTTTTTGAAGAGAATATATATGGAGACAGAGAGGGGGAGGGAGATGTATATGTTTGGAGAGAGAGAGAGAGAGAGAGAGAGAGAGAGAGAGAGAGAGGGGGGGAGGGGAGAGGGAGGGAGATATGTTTTGTATATATATATATATGAAGAGAGAGAGAGAGAGGGGAGAGAGAGAGAGAGAGGGAGAGAGGGGGGAGAGAGAGAGAGGGAGAGAGAGAGAGAGACCCATTGGGTTGAGTATGTGTAGATGTGTAGCCACTTTCTGTGAAAAGGAATCGATCGCACCAAAGTACAGTTGATTAACACTGTACTCAACAATATTCCAGCAATATGTCGGCGGCCTGTAATCCTTGACAAGACAATCCACTGATTGATGTTATGAGCAACGATCCATGCGTCTGATCCTGACCTCCTGCGACCAGTAATGGGGTGCTGGGGTTAGATACAGCACCGCGTCCCCACTTCGTTCCACCGCAGTAACAGCGCGTCCCCACTTCGTTCAACCGCAGTAACAGCGCGTCCCCACTTCGTTCAACCGCAGGAACAACGCGTCCCCACTTAGTTCCACCGCAGTAACAGCGGATGTGACCATGCTTAGCGAATAGATAACACTGCCAACGTATGTGCAACACCTGTAACAACATGCATCACTGCGCCAAATAATCGACTCTTGACAGGATAAACCAGAGTTTTACACCACGAGAATGGATATCGATCCACAAAATTATGATAGCAATACATGAAATCCCCCATTTATAAGCAACGCCCCATGCCATCGGGACGACCACCCGATCTATATGGCCGCCTCTTGAGACAAGCTCGACACCTAGTCCAACCCGGAATTTATGAGGTTTTTCTCTATTTACAAATGTAGGTATACTGGTGCAAATTTCATGACGTGTCTTAGGCTAAGGGGTCCATGCTTATTTTTTGTGAAGCATTTATCTCATTAAACACACTATATACATCAGGGAGAGTTAGCACTTTTAATGTTTAACCACAAGAGTGAGTGAATGTTAGTCATACTTGTTAAAATAGAGTCCACGTTAGATGCAGTAGTTATTATGGGGCGGTCGGGTAGCCTAGGTGTTAAAGCGTTGGCTCTTCACGCCGAAGACCCGGGTTCGTTTCCCGGTATGGGTACAATGTTTGAAGCCCATATCCCCCGCCGTGATATTGCTGGAATATTGCTAAAAGCGGCGTAAAACCATTCGCTCTCCCCCTCCCTCCGCTGTGATTGTAGCGAGTGTATTTCAAAACGGATCTAACGAGTGCGACCACATTTACTCTATTCTAAACGTATATACTACCGACACAAATAAGGGGAACAACTGATTTGAATGTCGCTATTGTTTGGGTGTACATTTATAATACCGGCAGGTCGCCTGAAAGCAAGGCGTCCTGTGAAGAGTGTGACCCAAAGAGCTTACCATAGGCAGCACAGATTAAGTGAGCTAGGCACATACAGGGAATGGCTGTGGGCGATGTATAAAGACGAATCAAGGCTTTGCCTCAGATTCACAGATGGCAGAATGCGCTTTTGGCGACGTAGTGGTATGCCCCAGTATACAACATGGGGCGGTAGTGTCATAACACATGACAGGCGAACCGATTTGGCCATTGTAACCAAACATTTGACTGGCCAATGATATGTTTGCGAAATTTTGCGTCCTTTCGTTGTTCCATTCGCTGGAATCATCGGCAGAAATTTTGAACTGCATGATGACAATGACAGACCACATCGTGCCCAACTAGTCAGCGATGTTCTCCGACGAGAAGGTATACGGACATTGGACTGGTCCGCTAAGTCCCCTAACATGTTCCCAATAGAGCACCTGTCGGGTTTGGGGGGCACGGGTGGCCCAGTCGTCTAAGGCGCCGCGATTCGCTGTGCAGAGTTGCGTCCCTTGGGCACGCCAGAAACCTATGATTGTGGTTCGAATCCCGGTTCGACCGATTATGTTTCTAGGTTTGTCAGCACCATACCCGTCCTCGTGGGTTTCACCGAAGTGGTAAACGTCTGAGACCTGCATCACTTCGGTCTTTCCTCTCACATTAAGCTGACACGCCGCGATATAACTGGAATATTGTTAAAAGCGGCGTTAAACCAAACTCACTCACTCACCTGTCGGGTGTTCTCGGGCGGAGAATGTTCGCCAGAGACCTGGCACCAACCCACATGGTCCACATTGGGTAGCTCTTCGGGGAAATGGCGGGCAATACCACGGGCAACCATACGAAAGTTAATCAACAGTAGGTGGCGTCGTCTAACGGGGTGGACACACCAAGTATTGATCTACACGCCCGATATTAATGGTACAGACATTTATCATCATTACACATTCAATATCATATCCTCAGCTCCCTGATTATTTGTCGCTAGTATATTTGTTCGCCAAACCTGCAATAGATCACTGGCAAGTAAATAATTCAATGTTTAGTAGTGTGCCCATGCTTCTCTGATGTTTTTTGACAATTTGTAGTGTATATCGGGATTAGATCATGTAGACGTTGCAGAGTACAACTGCACAGTGTTACTAACGCCTCCATTCGAATTACTGGCTGATGCCAAATAGACACCCGTCCGCAGGTGATGTTATTAAACGTGTGGCAATGTACAGGGGCATGTAAAATCGTGGACAATCAATATGAATAAATGATGTCAAAAAAACAAACAAACAAAAACAAAAAATTTTTTATTAAACGTGTGTTCCCTGCACGGGGGAGTAATCGAAGCTGTTATTGCATATTGGATAACGATGACTAGGAGGGCAGACAATACGTAAAGACATTATGAGTGAGTGAGGTTTTACGCCGCTTTTAGCAATATCCAGGAATATCACGGCGGGGGA